TATATATGGAAAAGTCACAAACCAAAAGTTGTGAGGGCATCAATTTTGAACGCTAGTTGACTCAGAACTGTAGTTCTGTTCAACTGTTGGTTGATTATTGTTGGTAGATTTCCCATCCAGCAAACATTTATAGCAATAAACCACCAGTCAAACAAATATGAAGTTATGATTCCACAAGCTTTTAAAATTGCCCCCCTCACAATGTCCAGTTTGTGACTGCGCCCGTTTCTCCCGTGCACTGCTTGGGAAAGGTGGCACTTTACACGAACTTCCCACTTGGCTCGGTCCTATCGGAGACGGACTTTAAATTTAAACTAGGAGGTCCCGCCCCTTAAATAACCTAATAGTGTTGATAGGGGCGTTAAACCCATACCATTTCACCATTTTCACCCGTGCACTCCCCATATATATGTATTGTTGCGTGGAGTACTGTACCATTGTCTTTCAGCTGGGATATAAAAAATCCCACTCAACCCAGGTTGAGGTTAGCACTGACACAAAGGATCAAAGCAGCCTGCCTCCTACATGTTCTAAATGATGTGGACAGGGAGGAGGGAGACTTCAGAGGCTTAGTCTGTCCCCGTCGTTTTATGCAAGAAAAATTCTGAAATTATGCAAACTGAGCCCAAAAATGTGAAATTATGCTATTTAAAATTTTTTATTTTTTTTATAGTAGAGGGTTTTACGGCGCTTGAAACTGCATAAGGTCATATGAGCGCTTAAATTATGCGATTCTGTTAATTTTAACAAAGTATGATAAAGGAAAATAATCAGAAATTATGCAAAAAATTATCAAATTTTGCTAAATTATGCGGGGTGCATAAAACCACGGGGACAGCTTAGTTAGTGGTCTGTGGGCTCAGGTTTGCACAAATCGCAGGGTAGCAGCTCCTGTATCATAACTCGAAGATTGGGGGAAATCACTTTTATTTTACGATATGTTCCAGGGCATTTGGTTTGGAAAATCACTTTTATTTTACGATATGTTCCAGGGCATTTGGTTTGGAAAATCACTTTTATTTTACGATATGTTCCAGGGCATTTGGTTTGGAAAATCACTTTTATTTTACGATATGTTCCAGGGCATTTGGAAAATCACTTTTATTTTACGATATGTTCCAGGGCATTTGGAAGGGGCTGATGCCCTGTAAAAAACTCAGAATTGTGCAATTATTTTGTGAAAATACACATTAAATTGTAAATATATTAATGTTATTGTTGATGGATATATTGCTTGGTAGCAGCTCAAGTATCGTACCTCGAAAATTTGGCGAAAATCACTTTTATTTTATGTTATGTTCCACGGCAATGGAAAGGGGCGCACGCCCTACTGTAGAAGTAAAAAACTTCAAAATTGTGCAATTATTTTGTGAAAATACACATTAACCCTTTGAGCCCTGACCTCTTGAGGCTACATTACATGGACCACATTCCATAATATTCCACTCAGGGTAGTCCTTGTCACTACCACTACGCTACTAAATCAGAAAGTAGAAAGATCTTCAAAATAAATATTATAATCAATAATGTCCTGTGGAATAAACACTGTATTCTGTGCGTGTTTTGTCCCAGACAAGCCGAGTTGAGGATAGGGTCTTGCTCACCCGTGCACTGCTGGCTAGGCATACAGGCTCAAAGGGTTCAATTGTTACTAACTGTATTGTTGATGGTTATATTGACGAGGAGCAGCCAACTATCATAACTGGGGGATTTGGTGAAAACCACTTTTTAACATAATATTCTAGGGCACTGGGAAAGGGTGCACGCCCTGTAAGACTCTCTGAAGTGTGCAATTATTTTGTGAAAATACACATTAAATTATAACTCTATGTATGTTATTGTTGATGGATATATTGCCTGGTAGCAGCTCAAGTATCCTAACTCGAAGATTTGGCGAAAATCACTTTTATTTTACGTTGTGTTCCACGGCACTTGGAAAACAAAAGTAAAAACCTCAGAATTGTGCAATTATTTTGTGAAAGAACACATTAACCCTTTGAGCCCTGACCTCTTGAGGCTACATGGACCACATTCCATAATATTCCACTCAGGGTAGTCCTTGTCACTACCACTACGCTACTAAATCAGAAAGATCTTCTAAATCAATATAATCAATAATGTCCTGTGGAATAAACACTGTATTCTGTGCGTGTTTTGGCCCAGACAAGCGGGGTTTGGGATAGGGTCTTGCTCACTGGTGTACCGCTGGCTAGGCATACAGGCTCAAAGGGTTAAACTGTAACTGTATTGTTGACGGGTATATTGGCGGGGAGCAGCCAACTATCATAACTGGGGGATTTGGTGAAAACCACTTTTTTACATTATATTATATTCCAAACACTGGGAAGGGGCGCATGGACTGTAAAGACCTCAGAATCGTGCAATTATTTTGTGAAAATACACATTGAATCGCAACTCTTGGTATTGTTCATGGATATAGTAGGCCTACTGTGGTAGTGTAAAATCAGTATTTTACTCCTCGTGTAAAATTCGGAACCTCCCCACGAGTTACGATGATTATACTGCTACCGGTACCTTGCGAAATAGCATCAAGCAACGTTGATGACCATATGTCTGTCTTCCCTCGTCAATATCAGTCAGTCGTAAGACGCAGTGTACTATTATCCAGCTACGAGGCTCGAAAGTTAAAAAAGTGACTTTCCATGAAATTTTTATTTTTTTGGATCAACTGAAAGTTTTATGTCTTCTGCTTCATTTAAGAGAAAATAAAAAAACCCTATAAATTCCAAGTCTCTCTATCTCAATTCTAAGACCCCCCATTGCTATGGAAACATGTTGCTCAACTTCGGAGGCCATTTTCTCCTTTTCGTGTTTCCTCACCTCGCACAATTAAAAGTTCTGTATTTTCGTCAAATATGGTCATATTTACTTCTTTCTTGTTTTAAATTTTTGGGAAAAGGTGATAGTGTTTGAAAATAATGTGAACTCAGTTTTGAAATTTCCTTCGTATGAAGGCTGATATTGACCGGCAGGGACACATATAGCATATTTCGGTGGGTGGTTACTTGAGTTTTTGTGTCCCTGGGCGCGACCGTTGGCATATAATTATACGACCATAAGGTGAAACATAGTGCCACACTACTGTTGTTACTCACAGTAGCACCCAGCTGTGACAGATTGCTACTGTTTTTGTTGCTTGTATTATGTTGTTATTACTTACTTGTGTTATATTATTGAATTTTGAAATAAATTCTTGTCTTGTCGTTGTCTCAGAACTATTTTGTCCAAAGTGGACTCCGTAGTTAAGTAGGCCTACACTTTGGACCAAATAATTCTGAGGCGACGATCATGTAAAAAGAACATCTCACATTGAGAATTAGTGGAGTTGTCTTTTTACATTTCTTTTTAAAAGATTTACGTTGGTTTGAAAAGGAGGGCCTTTGTTTCTACTGTCAGTTCAGTTGGTATCCATATATATATACCATGTTGGCCTACAAAACAGATGACCCTGATTGAAACGGGTTCGAGTCCCCAACAGGGTGTTCATGGAATCTGGTTGTTTGTGAAGGTTTTAGGGCTTTCTATCCATTTGGCTCTTTCATTTCAGTCAGAGACAGGATGTTCAATTCAGAGGTCCGGCCTCTTAACACTTTGCCGTCACACATCTCGCCGATCGGCGATGTTTGTCACCCACTTTCTTTGGATTTCCCAAAAATGCCAGTGGTGATAGCAAGGGTTTTTACTAAATGATCCTTTTGATGGCAGTGTTAAACAACCTAAAAAGTGTTGAATGGGGCGTTAAACCCTTACACTGAGTATTTTGAGAGTGACAGGTGACAGACGAGGTGGAGTAGCCAGCCTCCCAAATTATCTTGATCATTTCAGTAAAGAGAAGCAAGTAGGCTACATTGACACAATAATGGTCATTTAGTGCTTGGAAAAAATATATAGAAACAACAGAGGGAAATTAAAAAAAAAAAATATTTCGTAGAATGATACCAACAAAAATAGTAAAACATCCGAGCCTTTGTAGCAATGTCACATTTTTTTTTATTCAGACACAAACGTTGAGAAAGAAGATATTGGGGGAAAAAAAATCCCCAACAACATACAAATCTTTGAAACAATGAGTTTGTTGTACATGTACTACAGAAATCAATGGACATTTGCAACAACAAAAACAAGTTCTGGTAATTCATGCCAGAGTCAGAGCACGCATGATGAACAAGACAACAGATCAAACATTTCCTCACAGGGGTGAACGTATAACACACTTAAAATAAACACATGTTCAGGCACACACATGATCTTAAACACTTTAACAAACTTGTTTTTCAGGTAGGCAGGCCTACATTATAATTTTTCTCTCTTTCACACTTCAAATACTCATGATTATATATTTTCTAAAAATAAAAACAAAAAAAACCCCCGCCCTCTCATTCACCATCTATTCATTTCTTCCAGTTTCAGTCACAACTGGTTCACCCTCTCTCTCTCTCTCTCTCTCTCTATCAGCTGATTCCCTCTCCCTTGCCCCACTGCAATGTTATCTCATCTCCCCCCAGGACCGGGGTGGAGGGGAGGGGAGGGGTGAGGTCAGAGGTCACATACTGCTCCACTTGCCCTGTCACGACGTCATTTCACACTCGGTTCACGGTCTGGTCATAGGGCACGACATTCATTCGTACCCCCTGAGGAAAAGAATTTTAAAATGATAGCACTCAAAATAAAAATTTATGAAGTAACAAGTCAAATATGATAGTAATATATATATATATATATATATATATATATCATTTTATAGGCCTATATATAGATGAAAAAGTTATACATGAACAGTAACAGAGTCGTACAATAGTACATAAAATATTCAAAGGAATCTGTACGAGAAAATATTTGGAGTTACAGAAAACTAGTTTTAAATACAGGAAGAAAATGTTTGAAGTAAGAGACAGATCACAAATATTGTATTTACTATTTGTTAAATGAGTTAAAGTCTTTCATCACCTGTTCTACACACTATGGACCTTGAGGAGTAGGTGGTTCAGAGAATGCAGTATTTTACTAAAGTTTACATCGTGACTTTTTAGTTTTAGTATGAGTTTTATATGGCACTTGCAAGACAATAAGGTCATATAAGTGCCGAAGAATCGATATGTGTTACAAGAGAGTAACATACACAAAAAAGAAGGAGGGGAGATAAGGACGACAGATGTTTGATAGATATCTAAGATAGTAGGAAAGAAGGAGCAAACCACACCAGAGCACCTGCCAACCACCCAAAATGCATTATTTTAGTAAAGTTTACCCCATGACTTGAGAGGTTCCTTCTCACATCATGCCCCAGAAAATAAGGTATTCGAAACAAACCACCACCCCCTCCCAACAAATTAAAAGACTAATGGTGGTGATGAGAAATGAAAATGACAATAAAAATAATAAGGAAGGGACAAACCAAAATCTCCAGTGGAATGTAAATATAATATACAGTATAACACAGATCGCTCGAATTCGTCCGGACCGTCCTCTGTAGATCGAGGGATATCTTACGCTTACAAAGAGATAAATATGGGGGGGAAAAAAGGGACCGCAGGCACAGTTCGACAGATGCATGATTTCTAGTCTTCTGTGTTCGACCTATCCGTGTTATACTGTATATATATGCACACACAGTGAAGTTTAGTTTTAGTTTTAGTAAGAGTTTTACGGCACTTGCAACACAATAAGGTCATAAAAGTGCCGAAGATTAGAGGTGTTACAAGAGAGTAACAAACACAAAAGAGAAGGAGGGGAGATAGAGACGATAATTTTTTTTATAGGAAAGAAGGAGCAAACCACACTAGAGCACCCGCCAACCACCCACACAGTGACGTTTATCTCCGACAAAATCGTTGAGTCCGTGACTGACAAAAATGTTTGACTCATCCATAATTCAGGTAAATCGATAATTCTGGGTACCGTAACGAAAAATAAATTAAATAGAAGCCTGTAACACGGGATTTACACAAACAGAACATTGACATGAAGTTGAACACCCCCCAAAAAAAATAGAATAAAATAAAAAGCAACCCCAGCAAACAGATCACCCCCCCCCCCCCCCCCAAAAAAAAACAACAACCCCGCAACCAAAACAACAAAAAACCTGACTTTGACAGATGGAAACACATCCTTAGGCCAAAATGACATCTACTCCACCACTACTTGTGGGAAATATTGTGAAAATGACAGAAGTGTCCTACCATTATAGGCTACCACAGACACTGGTACAAAAAGTGTCAACCCCACACAAAGAGCATTCAGCTGTCACAGAAAACGAAAGGAAAAACAAGAAAGAGCAGATACAGTGCAGCCTTTCTATAACGACATTATCGGGACAATAAAAAAAAATGTTATAAATTATAAAGAGGCAACCAAAACTTACTAATGATATCTAAGGAAAAAATCTGGACCAGGGCACCATGTCGCTATACTATAATACAGAGGATGTCGTTATAGAGAGGCTGCACTGGAATTCTTCCACTGATTTCATAATATATATATCGACTGTTGTTTTGTGGGAAAACTCCCATCATAAAATGCCATTTTGAAAAGTGACATAATATGATGGAGCCATACACTGAGAAGTCGATATATATATATTTATACATAATTATGACGGATATGTCGTTCATTGACAGAGAACCTCAGTTTAATAATACGACACTGACAGGTAGACAGACAGACGTAACTGATAAGGGGAGGAGGAGGAACTGGATGATGATGATGATGATGATGAATGTTCCTGATGAAGCCATACAGCGAAATGTTGAACATATATTATATAACAATATATTTTGGAAATCCTACCAAGTCTCAACCTTTTTAATTCTTTATTTACAACGAAGGGGGGGGGGGGGGGGGGGGGGGGGGCAAAAAAAAAAATTTTCCCCCTCCCGGGGCCCCCCCCCCCGGGGAAAAGAAAAAAAAGAAGGTTTTTCCAAGGGGGGGGGGGGGGGGGGGGAGCAGAGAAGGACATGTTCCGACTGCAGTGACCCCAACACAGCGGACAAGTAAGACAAGTAAGTATTTACAATGATGATGATGATGATGATGAAATAGTATCTACCAGCAGAGTAGGCCTACAATGTACCATGTCTACTGGCCAACCAAAAAGGTAAAACAAAGTAAATGTTTATAATACGGGGCCTACACATATATGACATCCTGTCCATAAATTCTGTTCTCAAATATCCCATTCCCATATGATATCACTACATGATAAATAAAAACAGTAAAGTTCAAACTACCGTATTCTTTTTCCTGGAAACAGACAATGATCAATCAAACAAATTACATGACAGAAACAATACAATACATGAATTATTGTGTATGTTTGTGTGTGTGTGTGTGTGTAAGCATGAGGGTACACACAGACACCTACACACAATCACTTACATTAACTTTTACTAAAAGTAAACAAATACTAAAAAAGACAAAACACATGAGTACGTTGGTTGGTCTGTCCCCGTGGTTTTATGCACCCCGCATAATTCAGCAAAATTTGATCATTTTTTGGGTATAATTTCAGATTATTTTCCTTTATCATTCTTTGTTAAAATTAACAGAATCGAATAAATTTCACATTTTTGGGCTCAGTTTGCATAATTTCAGAATTTTTCTTGCATAAAACGACGGGGACAGGTCGGAGTGAAGAGAAGCAACCAACCACTCACACTGAGAACATATAGGAACAAACAGCAAACAGACGTACACTCGTCTCTCCAGACACGCACCGTTTGGAATTATAGCATCAATTATATATAGAAACAGGATTTGTGCAGCACATATTCCTGTTTAAAAGCATGCTCTAAGCGCTTTACAATCTATATCATTACCCCAACAGACCCTAGTTATACAGTAAGAGTTTTACGGCACTTGCAACACCATAAGTTCATCATATAAGTGCCGAAGATTAGAAGTGTTACAAGGGAGTAACAAACAAAATAAGAAGGAGGAGAGATCAGGACTATAGACGATAGGAAAGAAGGAGCGAACCACACCAGAGCACCCGCCAACCACCCACCAACAGACCCTAGAACACTCTGAAACATTCTTGGCTAGTGAGCTTTCCACACGGCCAGCCACATTCACTCTTTTACTATGATACACCTATAACTATAAATAACAATATACGGGCCCGCTATCATCACACGATGAAGCATCTATTCTTAGATATACTCTATAAAATTCTGTCTCAAAACTCTGTTAAAAAAAACCCCCAGTACAGTTGTTTGTTTGTTTGTTTGTTTAGTATAGGGTTTTAAGGCGCTCGCAACTGCATAAGGTCATATGAGCGCGCGGGACACACCAAATACTTTTTCGTTAGTAGGAAATTTTGAATTTTGCCCGGGTGGCGGCCGAAGCCTACTCTTATCGATTTTAGACCACCAAGGGATCTTTAACGTG